TGTGTGTGTGTGTGTGTGTGTGTGTGTGTGTGTGTGTGTATGAGTGTTTTGTGTCTGTAAGTGTATATGTAGGTACAACGTGCATATATCTCATTATTCGTGTATTGTTTGTTATTAGAACCATATAGGAACGAAAAACATATCCCAAGATCGTTTTAAATTATAACTTTATCTTTATTTTTTCATTTTTTACGTTTAATTTTATCAATTTATCACAGTGTTATGTTCGCATTTGTTATTCTTTTAATATTATGATAAAATAATATATGTACTACTAAAAAATTACTGTATAATTACTATATAATAAGTAATATGATATTTTAAAAACTGTTCGGGTAACATCATGGTTTTAAACGTGAAAAATATTTTAGCAACTAAAATTATTGCAAAATTAAAATACTAAAAATTTTGACTTTATTTTCTGCCTCAATAGATTATAAGTGAACTATATTAATGAAAATTAAATCGAAAATAAATGAAATAAATCAGATTTATAAATCATAAATCTTTAGAATAATAATTGATTCATGCGAATTCATGTGTACTAAATATTTGATAAAAAAACAAAAATTTGAATACAAATATAAATGTATGTTAATTTTTACCAGAGAGGGATGGGGGGCTGGTGAGATGTGTTGGCAAGCTGGATTTTCGATTTTGGAGGGGAAGGATTGCCGTTCAAATTTTGATATCGGTCTTTCAAATTTATGCAATTGCGTGCTAATTATTTGCATAACTTTTTTTTAGAATTTTTTACTGGGGGGGGGGCTGATATTTTATAACTATGTATGTAACTGTGAGTATAATATTGAAATAAAATAGTTTATATTAGATTAATTCGATTAAAAATTAGATCAGGCATTAGAATTATTTTATGAAATATAAAAGCAAACAGATTCTATATCACTCCAATTGTATTTAAGTTATCAGTTATTCGTGGTAATAATTGAAAAGGATATTTTTATTTTTATAATTGTTATTCGTGTTGGAATCGACGTGCGTATTAGATGTATTTTTTTCTAGTCGGAACTTACAAACCCGTATAATTTTTAACCATGTTGGAACTTAGTATGCATACCCTGGTTGATTTTTACATGCCATATCTCGTGCAGGAACTCACATTCGTCTTTCGTATACATGCACACATGATGACATGAATAATTCAGTAAAAATATTATCGAATAATTCGGATGAGAAAAGTAAAAAAATATTATCGTTGAAGAATTATAAATTATTATTTCTCACGGATTACGCGTAGTGTGCATATTACCACGAACGAAATGGAAAAAAATATGTTCGTCAAATCCAATTCGAGTTGGAAATTATAATAAAAACCGAATACATGTTAAAAATTCTTGCACGCACAAGTACTATGTTGTCGGTTTAAAATATATTTTGATATGTCATATTGGGAAATTAAGACGACCTGTAACATAAATGGCGTTCATTTCTTTACGAACAAACTTACTAGAACTGGCGGCAGGTCTATAAATCGTTCTGATACGTACAAAACCTCATAATATTATATACACCATATAACATATGTGTATAATTCCGTAATCGCATTGTGTTACTACACGTTGTATTCGCGTCGCTGTCAGTCAAAAACCATTCCGTGAAATTATTCGAGAAGAAGGTAAAAAATCTAGAGCATTTAATCTCGTCCATTAAACGTTTGCGCGCCCGATAAATACGTTACGTGTTTACCAAAAAGATTAGTGTTTATTTGGCTACATTATATTATTCAAGAGAATAACGATTAGACCCGGATACGAAATTATGTTAATAATGCGTCAACAAGTAATTTTATTACACAGATGCGTATCTTAGGCTATATCCTATTAAACATTTTATCCCTTCTTATAGGCAAGCGTCAGAACCGTGTAACGCACAGATGATCAAGTTTCACATAAAACTTATCTTGTTTCCCAACTAATTTAATTATTAATTTATAATTTATAATCATTTGGAATTCGCTGGGTGAGAACGCGAATAGAACAATTAGTATAATATATATATATCTAATAGGAAGCATATTTTGGTATAGTTTACATAAAAATAAAAATCGTCTGTTGAATAGTTATCTGTTATAGAGGTTTTATGACGTGTGTCTATCGTTTAAGATATTTACAGTTCGTAATCAGTTTCATTAAATTTGCTGTGTATCATACATATCAAATTATATGTATGTATGAACTAATAATCGTACTCTTTTGTCCAAAAAATGGACATGTCTTCATATATTTTATTAATTTTGAATAAATACATAATATATAAAATTACATTACCTAAGTATTTATAGCCATACCATTTATGTTTTAAATATCCATTAAAATTATAGTAAAATATTGTAAAAATTTATGTGACTGGAAAAGTTATCCGAATTACAGAAAGAGAAAATAAGTTCTTTGAGTGTTTGTTTCTCTGAAAAAAACGTTTCAAAAATGTACCCTTGGGACTACAAAACTTTCAAAAATCGTTAACCATAAAATTACGATCTACTTAATAACGTATTTATTGGATTGCGATTTGTAAACTTATTTATTAACATAACTCCGTGCAATTTTCTTTTTAAAAATACATAAATAAATTGTCAGAAGTATGAAGTTAAAATGTATTCGTATATGCTTGACGCTCATGGTACGGAAAATAATTTATTTGTATTGCACAAACATACAAATTAAGTAACACATGAAATAACGCATATGTTTCCAGTTGCGGTCGTGTGACACGACTACCACAGAAAACCACTTTTCATACACACATGTCTTCTCTTTTTTTTTCAATTCACTTAACTTAATCAATATCAACATAAAATATATATGAAAAATCATTATTAATAATATTTATTGATTACATGCTAATTGACAAAAAATTATTTCAACAAATATTGTTGATATGAAGAACTACTGTTTTTTAAAAAAAATCGTTTTATCGACTTTTCTGTTAATAGTACATCGAAAATGTGCGAATATAATCTCAATAACGTTTCTGCTGAGCATACTCGTAACGCTACGGATAAGCGTTAGAAACAATAATAGACGTAGTAAAACGCGGTTGTATTAATTTCACTTATACTATCTAATTTCACTTTACTTATACTGTAAAACGAGCTGAGTAAATTTTCTCTGGAGATAAGAATAACGCACGTACGCGTCTTTGCGAACGAACGCGGACACGATGCACTTTTTTTTGATGGAACGGAAGAGCAGCAGTGAAAAATGGAACACGCAAACGTCCGGAGATTGTGTGTGAAGTGTACGGACGGAAAACTGATCTCAGGCCCAGGTACTCGTTCTGATTGACACATCGTGGCTCCGACAGACGATCGCGAGGACCGATCGAAAAATGGGCAACCGGTATAAGGGCGTGGCTAGAAATATCATCAAGGGGAGGGGGTGAACGACTAACGAAACACTTATAGTGTTGGTTATCAAATTTAATTTTAAATTTGTCCACGTGTCAAATTTTTTCGATTATTACTTACGAGGTAGAAGTCGAATAAAATAACCATGATACATTAAAATAAAAATGCATGTAGAATTGTAGTGTGGAAAAAAAAACGTGTTATTCGGTAGGAAATGATCATTTAAATGCTTAGAATACACAAAAAAAAATAAAAAAAAATAAAAAAAACTATGGACAGAGGGGGGGAGAAGCGATTTCCACTACTTAACTTCATTGGCTAGGCCCTTAAACTGGTACCAACCGGGTTTTAGCCACGGCCCGTTCGTCAGCAGCGAACTTGTAAACAAAACGTTTACGCGGTGCAGCCGAACGAACACGCGTAGTGGATAGGATTCGAGAGAAAACTTTCTAGGCATGTAAATGGTGCGGGTGATATATTGCGGGCAAACTGGCAATGACTCACACGCCGCAACAGCACTTCGCGTCGCACTAAATCATTACGCGCGTTGACGGGTTCGCGTCGGCTCGCGCGTTCATTAATACATATTGCACGTGGCCAAAATAAGGTCTTCCGAAAAAAATGGCAAACTTTTTGAATTGATCGCCCTCGCGGAAGCCCGAAAACGTATGGAATCGTATCGTTTTTCGTGCCGCGAACGTTAAAAGTATCACCTTCGTATAAGGCCATGTCTGCGAATCGGTGTCCGTTCTTACGTGTGCAATCGTGAATCAGTTGTCCTTTCGATTGGTCTTTGATTTTTTTTTTTTTTTTATTCACAATACCGTAGTCGCGGTCCGATTCGTGTGCTTCGGTGAAATTATAGTAATTTTGTAAACTGCGCAATGCGCGATATCCACGTTCGATCGCGGCAACGTACCCGTACGAACGGTGCCATACCAATGGAATAAGATGGTGTCTTACATGCAATAATTTTAATTTGTTAGTATTTTTTCTTTGGAGAGTTATTTCAAACTGAAAAACCTTCTGTAGTGTTGCGTGGGCATGTTGTATACATATCGTCACGATAAGATATTATTATCATATAGAAAACAATAAGTGTGCGTTTCGAGGAAATAACGTCGAAAAGCCATCCCGTTTGGAATTCGATACCCGTGGTCCAATCATCCCACGCTGTAGTTTATCGCGTGGTTCAAGTATATCGGGAAAAAAATTCGTGGCTTTGTGTGATCCAAACTCTAAATCCGTGGCCGCAGATAGAGTTCTTGTGACGTTTAGATTCTACTCCGGGATGAAACTTGCTGAGGCATTTTCATTATTCACGATATTGCATCAAACAGTGAATTCAGTATGCGGTGGAGAGGAGTTCGTATCAATGGACGATGTGTGGTATTGTGAATTTCTCTGGCTAAGTATTCACCGTCTTACCTACGTTCAAAGTTTTCGCATAAAATAGACGGTATTCAAAACCGACATCGCGTAGTAATGCAATATGGTGTGCCCATTGTTAAATGTTAACATATTGGATTAATCATATAATTATATAATAATTCAGTAAGTTACGAGCTTTGCGTTTTTTCC